GTAAGAGTATACTTAGCATTATATTTAACTTTTTATTTTATTTTTTGCATAAAAATTATAAAATTTGACTAGCCAGTATTTGATCATTCAGATCATGTAAATCATATTTATGGTTTTATGTGTTATATATTAGTTATTGTGAATTGATCTGTTTTTTCTTTTATTGTTTCTTATTTTTTCCTTATCTCTGTTTATGTATATACAACAGTTAGTATGTATCAATTTCCTAATGCATTTTAATTTTTCAAATGTACCCTTTAAATTAAGAAAAAATAAAGAATAATGAAAAAAGTTTTTGCTGCCCCACCCCAAACCTTCACTCAATTAAAAAGCGACTCCTTTGCATTTTTTTTTTTAAATCAGTCAATGTCAATAAATGCATTTCAGTATAATGCAATATAATACAGCAATCATATATGTTTGTATGTGTCTTTGTATATATGTATATATATATATATATATATATATATATATATATATATATATATATATATATATATACATGAATGATATATATATATATATATACATGAATGATATATATATATATATATATATATATATATATATATATATATATATATATATATATACATGAATGATATATATATATATATATATATATATATATATATATATATATATATATATATATATATATATATATATATATATATATATATATATATACAAAATGAATCCCACACTACATTTTTGTAGTGAGTTTCATTTGAACTACATGTAGAAAGCATATTTAAGTCATATGCATACCACTGTCCTTTATGGGATGATTTTGATGCTGTGTTTGTGGACAAAAGTCTTTTTTTTTTCTGAAGATCTTCTGGACTTATATTACAACAATACATACCATTTTATAAAATAAAGAAGTTTAAAAAATAAATTTATTTTCAAGTCCCCACCAGGTGTTAGAACTGCCATACATAATTGGCCAATAATTACGATGGTGTCATCAAATAATTGGCCTCTATAATCAATTTACTGATATTTAAAAGCCGGAATAGCTCTGTTGTCTATTAGCCGGGATAGCTCATTTGGCTAAAGCGTTGCTAAAAGTTCAGAATAATTATTGGTCATAACAGTAGGAATGCAAGTTCATATCCTGGCTCTGCATACTTAGCGTATGAGTAGTCCTTTGGTATGGAGGGAACTTGTCTCGATTAGCTCTGCTATTATGATGTTTCCTTCTAAACTAGTAAATAAATAGTTTAGTCAAGTAAATGAAAATTATTGTTTATTGTTTATCTAAAAAGGTAACTTCGAAATCAATCTGTTTAAATATATCAACTCTGTTGCAATCTTAACTTATGAAATAAATACTCTAATTTTAGTTAAAGCTTTGATATTTTACAAACATGTTAGATGTGTATATATATATATATATATATATATATATATATATATATATATATATTATTTGCATTCACTCCCAACAAGGCTGCAAGCAACCACTATTAAGTTGGGAGTTACTAGGAAAAAAAAGAACAGAGTTATAGAGCAAGGACTGTTGACAGAAGACTTGAAAAGTTGAAGGTTGTATGAGTCAGGAAAACATGAAGATGGGAGAGAGTTCCAAATGATTGAAGTGCAGGGAAAAAAACTAGATGAATAAAAGTTTTTAGAGCATGCAGGGACAGATACAGTAAATGAATGAGACTTAGCTGAATGATGAGTAAAACGAGAATGAATTTTAGTTGATGGAACTAGAGATGATAACTCCTTTGAGCAGTGACCATGATAGTATTTGTAGAAAAGAGAAAGAGGTGCAACTTTACGACGATGGGAAAGAGGTTCAAGCTTAGCAGATAGTCCAGGTCCAACAACATTTACAATGCGATTTTGGACCTTGTCAAGAAGAGAAAGTGAATCATTAGAAGAACCAGCCCAAATATGACAACAGTATTCCATACAGGGACAAATAAGAGATTTGTAGAGGCAGAGAATGGAATCAGAAGTAAGGAAATGGCAAGCACGATAAAGAGAAGCAACCTTAGCAGAAGCTAATTTAGCAATCGATTGTATATATGGTTTCCATGAAAGGTCAGTAGTAAGCGATAATCGAAGAAGACGTAAAAAGGAGGACTCAGTAAGAGGATTGCCATTCATTAATATAGGAATGTTGACCATATTACGGTAGTTGTTTGCAGTAAGCAACTGGGTTTTTTTAGAGTTGAAATTTACAAGCCATTGTTAACCCCAATCTATTACTGAAGTGAGATCAGATTCAAGATCAGTAGCTTGTTCTAGGCGATCGAAAAGAGAAGACTTTTTGTCAAGACAGGAGTATAAAGTTGAGTCATCAGCAAAAAGAGCTACTTTAGATGAAAGGTTGTCAGGAAGATCGTTTATGTAGATAAGAAACAAAACAGGGCCCAGGATGGAACCTTGGGGAACCCCAGAAGTTACTGGAAATAAAGAAGAGTGTTGGCCTTCAAGGATGACTTTAAAAAACCGGTTAGAAAGAAATGATTTGATAATCTCAAAAACTTTCCCAGAAACACCATATGAAGCAAGCTTATGGAGAAGACCAGCATGCCAAACTTTGTCGAAAGCTTTAGATATGTTGAGAGCAATAGCCCTAGCCTCACCGCCTCTATCTAATGCACGATAAAATCTTTCAGTTACAGCAGTTAGCAAGTCGGCGGTAGAGCTAGAGGATCGAAAACCGTATTGATTGTCTGACAGTAGTTTATTTGACTCAAGATGAGATGTGAGGAATTTGTTGATCAGAGACTCAAAGACCTTGCTAATATCAGAAAGAAGACTGATCGGGCGGTAATTGGAGGGGTCAGAATTTTCTCCAGAGTTTTTGAATATTGGAACTACAGATGCCATTTTCCAACAAGCAGCAAAACAAGACTCAGTCAAACACTTGTTAAATAGTTTAGAGAGAATTGAAGAAAGTTCTGGAGAACAATTCTGCAAGACTGTGACAGGAATGTTGTCTGGACCACAAGCTGTAGACGAGTTTAATTGAGATATGACTTTAGCAACAGAAGCCGGAGTGGTTTGAATGTCTAACAATGGGTCAACCTGTTTGACTGGAATGGAAGGAAGAGAATGTCCATAAGATTCAAGAGTGGAATTAGAAGAAAAGTTCTATGCAAATAGTTCTGCCTTATCCTTGGGAGAGGTAATAAGATCAGTGCCATGAATGAGAGATGGAATGTTAGATCTACCCTTGTTAATAATGCTGTTGAAGATTTTCCAAAAGTCTTTAGAGCCTAACTTCTGCGATAAGATGCGAGATTTAGTGAACTGAGAATAATGGAGTTTAGCATCAGAAAACACCTTTTTACATCGATTTCTTGCAATAATAAATAGCCATTTGTTCTCAAGAGAGTTGTTCTTTTGAAAAAGATGAAAAAAATGATTACGATTGGATATAGCAGCCGCACAAGAAGGAGAAAACCATGGAGTAGAATGAGGCTTGACTTGAAACCGACGCGAAGGAATAAAAGCTTCCATTCCAGCCTGAATCCATGAGGTTACGTAGGAGGCGCATTTGTCAGCTGAGAGAGAAAAAACATCAGCCCAAGGACCATCACAAAGAAAACCACGAAAGGAATCCCAGTCAGCTTTAGGGTAGTAGTAGGTGGTGCGATGATAAGGTGAGCCTAAAAAAGAAGTACGAGAAGAAAGATTTATAGAGATCATTGCATGGTCAGAACCACCTAAGGGAGAAAAGGGTGAAACTGAACATAAGCTAGGGTCAGAGACAAGACATAAGTCAAGGAGTGAAGGTAAATGATTAGGGTTGTCAGGAAAACGAGTCACAAAGTTAACTATCTGAGTAAGAGATTGAGAAACGCAGAAGTTAAAGGCTTTAGTGCCAGCAGGATCAGTGGTGTTAGAGCCAAGCCATTCAGTGTGATGGGCATTAAAATCACCAACAACAACAATATTGGCAGAGGGGTAAAGAGAGAGGGCATGGTCAATTTGATCAGAGATAACATCTAAGAGAGTGCAATCATGGGAAGAAGGAGAACAATAAAGAACAAAGAGAAAGGTGATAGAGTGAAGAGGTGCTAGGCGAAAGCACATAGAAGAATGGTCAAAGGATTCGAACCTGATTTCACGACAAATAGGGGAATTAATGCGTATGTATATCCCTAAACCTAGCATGTGACTATTTGAGTCTTTACGAATCAAAGGATAGTACCCATCAACACTGACATCTGAAGAAGGAATTGCAGAATTTAAATTTGTTTCACTAAGTGCAAGCAAGTCTGGTGAATTTTGCAGGAGGTAAGACTCAACTGATGGAAAGTTGCTTCGTTGACCGCGAATATTTTTAAAAGATATATTAAAATATTTAGGTGGTGGAGATGGTTTTTTAGATTTTAAATTTTTGGTTACTTTGGTCATGATTTGGGTTTAATGAGAACTTGACTCATTCATAGATAGAGCACAGCCTCCTAATCAATAAGCTATGCAGTTGTCTCAGTCCTGTTAATTAACCCTAAGCCGTGACATAGGGCTCCTTATGTGGCTTTGACAATGCACACCAAAAGCATTAACAGGGACACCATCCATGCGCAACATGGCACTGTTTATACTCTGATATTTTGCAGCTGTTGATGGAATCAGCCTCTTTGAGAGCTACCACAGAGTTTGGGAAACCTTACTACCAGCCGGCCTCAGAACCATTAAACTGAGTTTTAGAGCTGTACCCTCATATGGAGATAACAGGAAGAGTTGCATAGCCATTATCAAGGATGCATAAGCAAAATTCTATGAGTAGAGTCAAGGAGATCCAGCATTCATCATCCTATCATTCTACAAGACAGTAGTTGGATGCAGTTAACATCTGCCCAAGATGAGTATTTTTATCGAGACACCATCTCTAGCCTTTACTGAACCAAGAGCCCCAAGGCAGGGGATGTTTAGCTGGATACAGTTGACATCTGCCCAAGATGAGTGTTTTTATCGAGACACAATCTCTAGCCTTTACTCAACCAAGAGCCCCAAGGCAGGGGATG